TCTTGATTGAGAGCATGCTAAATTCGACGTGAAGAATACACATTATACACGTAAATACATATATATATATATATAATATATAAATATATGTATGTATGTAAATATATATATGTTAATACATATTTAGTTTTCGTTTCGTTTTGGCTGTGTTGAGCCGTTTAAAACAATTTTGTACAATTGTGTTTTTGCTTTGTAATCATCATCGTACTCATAATCGTAATCGTAATGTAATTGTAATTGTAATTGTCTCCAAGTGCACATAAATTTCATGTTGAGCATGCCCAGACAATTAACAATTAACCGGGCTATTGACATTATTGTTGGTTGTAGTTGTTGCAGTTGTTGTAGTTGTAGCTTTTCTGCTAGGCCAAATTTAAGAGAGCCAAGGCTAAAACAACGCCACAGACAAATCTCAGCAAACAATTACTTAAATCTCTGGCTAATTGTAGGTCACAGCTCACAGATGATACTTTAGAAACCTAACCAAATATATACATATGTCCAATTAAGAGATACTTTTGATTCATTTAGTATATTTTAACTATCCATCATCTGCTATTAAAAGTTGTGCAGCTTTTTTTTAAACAAACACAAGATTTTTATGCAAAATCCCATGTGTATATATAGATATATATATATAGAGATGCTTAGATGCAATATGTGGTCGAAAATAAGGACAATTTATTATAAGGCAGCCCTTTGAAAGGTGTTTTCGTGCTTAGCAAAAGTAAAGATACATATTTCTGAAATTTAACTACTTCTTTATGCTATGATAAAATCTAGTTTGGTATATATATATATATATATATTTTTTTTTTAATTGATCACTGCACTAATACTGATTAGTACCCAATTATCAGTAAGCTATGCCTTTGCGGGCCTTGACCCACTTGGTGGGGCCAGCTGGTTAATTAAATGTAGCATAGTTTTGGCCACATTTGCCCAACTCAAGTGTGTCAGCAACGAGCCTAGTTCTGTCGCATAGCATTAAGATGTTAGCACTTGTGTGTGTGTGTGTGTGTGTGTGTGTGTGTATATGTTTGGTCTTAAAGCCGCATTAAGATTCTAGGCTAACATTCGAGCTGTTTGACCAGAAACCGGTACGGCAAGTACTTGCGATCGAGTACTCTAACATGGCAATTATCGAGCTGCACTCTTTTTTAGCTGGCATTTGCTTTCCTTTTCCTTTTCCACTGACAAATGATATACATATATGCGGCCAAAAAGGAAGTCAATAATTTAGACATGGCTAATAAGCGGTCTGTCGCGCACACTTCACAGGAAATCCAATCAGTCGATGACAGCCAATCAATTCAATTCAATTCAACTCAAGTCAACTCAGCCGCCGCCGGCAATTGGCAGCAACTGAAGCAGCTAAGAAGTAGTTGCCCATGAAGTGAACTTGAAACCGAATGCAAATGAGACAAACTAACACTAAAGTGTCGTCAGTCGTGCACTTCGAGGCGTTCGCTCGACCGTGGCAAGCACCAACTGGCAAATGGCGCAGATAGTCAGATAGTCGGTGGGCGTGGGGTCTGGGCGGGGGTGGGGTGTACTCGGGTTACGAGGTGTTGCATGCGATGTCTCTAAAAGAAAGAAAAAAAAAAGCAAAAACAACAAAACAGCTCACAATTATATAATTCATTTATTAAACGCTGAGACCCGTTGACAATGACATTTTCTTTTTTTTTGTCAACGACATTCGTAACAGTTGCTAAACGGTCAGATCAGCAAGTGGAAGTGGTAGTTGTGGTAGGCTGGTCATGGGACGGGGGAAGGGGAGAGATGTGCATGTAGTTGCTGGGTACTCTGGTGTTAAGTAGAGGTCGATGGTTTTGACATTTGTCTTCTTGCCAAGCGCGTAACGAGCACATAATTATTATTATTCAAATTCAAGTTGTGCCATGAAAATTGCACAAGCATTCGAGTCGCAGGCACAACAACAAAATTGGTTAATGGTGCCGTAAGACAAATTATAGCATGGACACGGATACGGGCCACACTTGGCAGGGTATCTGGCGGTGGTCTATGTTATTCAGTGCCCGCCCCATAATCGTGTGTCATATTTATTAGCCAAGTCAACGCACTTTAAGACATTTGTGTGTGTGTGTGTGTTTGTTTGTTTATAATTTCTCGCTTTGTGAAGCCATTGAAGTTGGCGCGGCGTCGGGTCGAGGTCATTCATCCAACAGCCGCCTCTTCTCATAAACTAAATGTATGCAGGTAGAGTGTTAAAAAAAGCTAGTGCAAGTTTCGCTTCTAAGTGAACAAATCGGACCCCTATTGGTGTTTCAATATATATATATACACACATTGTTATTTGCAAGCAAATCTCGGGTTCTATAATTATATAGTGAAGTTTGTAACACATTGCAGAAGACATCTCCGACCACATACAGCATTTATATATTCTTGATCAGCATCACTAGCCACGTCCGTCTATCTATTTCTATGCAAACTAGTCCCTCAGTTTTAAAGCTATCTTAATGCATTTTGGTATGTATTCGTTGATCTTTTTTTTACATATGTCGCAGATGGGAACCCTACTATAGGAACGATCGTTTAAAAGATGTTTTTTTTTATGAAAATCGTTTTGTTTCAAAAGATATTCGCAGTAAACTTACCCAATCTGCGTATTATTTGAATAAATCATTAAAATGAGACTACAAGATCAGATATATCATATATGTATAGACTACTAGTCGGTTCAAATATGAGTTCTCAAATGAATAACAAATTTGCTTACCAAATTATCCAAACCAAACTCAGCAGTAATGCTTGTTTTTAGAATCCTCAGATTTGTGCGAAATATTATCTACATCAGACGACTATATCATTTAGCTTTCATGGGAAGAACCAATTGATTTTTCTAATTTATGCCAAAAGTTCGACGTTGGCAATTTGACTTTGGTCTGGAAGGGCATGTAATCTTCGGCGTGCCTAAGATACCCGTCTTTTCTTGTTAGTGCTACCTTTGCTGTGGTGCTAAGGTACTTAATAATAATGTCAATCGTTAATGGACCCCACCGAGATTGACTGATAGTTAACTGCTAGAACTAAATGGTTGTTTGAAGTGAATGAAAAGCATGTTTTATGCACCACTAAAGAACACTTGTAGATAAACTTGATTTTGAGTTTATAGTGAGAATTGCAATACGATCGCTAAAAGAATATACTCGTATATGTATACGACTCAGATAAAATCAATCAAATCGAACTCGTAGTTTAAGTTTTTTTTTTTAACCAATGCTGACATGATTTTGCACCAGTGTGCAATGGCCGGAAAGACTGCGCTACTTTAGAAGCTTTGCATTGCAGACATCAGACAACAGACAACAGGCAACAGCAGCAATAGCAAACTCAACTTGCCCCAGCAGCAACAGCGACAGCAACAGCAGAAGGCAGCAGCAGCAGCAATGACAGCATGGGAAATGGTATTGCAGTCAAAGGCAAACGGAAAAGCATCATGAAATTTGATTGACAGTCAAAGCCGAGTGCAGCCCACCGCAAACTGATGCGATGGCAGCGATGGCAGCGACACAAATGTATTTGAGTTGAAAGCCAAATACAACAACTTCAAAAGTTTTGCCAGTGTGTTTTTATATCGTTTGAATAACTGCTGTCATATAGCTGCGTTTACGACCAAATGAAATGAAACCGGAAGTTTGGCTGCCATTGCGGCGGGGCACGTCCCGAATGGGGCGACCCCCAAGCCAGTACCCAATACCAATACCAATACCAAAACCAAAACCAAAACCAATACCAAATCCGAAGCGTATCAAAGAAGTGAGGCAACCCAAAAGCGACGGGGTTCATTCAACTCTGTGACGGCTCTTGACCATTAAACAATTGAGTTACCACAAATGCAGTTATTTGTTTGCCACACAATTGAATAACCGGAGGCTGCAAAGCACAACAGACTCCAACTCCGACTCCGAATGCGAATTTTTTTTTATGTATATAGTTGTGGAACGCATCGAATTTATATATATTTATATATATATATATTTATGTGTGTGTTTGCCACATAGCCACTGAGCCACACCTTTTAGCCAGATGTCGCATGTTTTGTTAGTGAAGCCCTGGGGGCTTAGCCTCGCTGCCGTCCGATGTGGGTGTGGATGTGTGCTGTGTGCTGTGCGCTGTGTGCTGTGTGCTGTGTTAACGGAATTTATGATAATAATGATCATGTTGATGACGATGTTGTCGGTGTTGTTCGGTGCGTCAACTTCTGTGCCACAATACTGAAAATACTGAAGATGGGCCGGCGATAACAGTGTGTGCTCACTATGTAGACACACACATATTTATGTAGACATTCAGACATTCCACATAAGACTCATTTGATCAATGTTACTGATTACAGTTGCGTAATTGCTTATTCAATATTTATTGCCTGAAAATAAACAGGTTTTGTCCTATTCTGTTAATGCGTTAATCACAATTTGATTAAATAACAGATTTTATATTTAATTCTTATCTATCTACATATTTATTTTGAGATGACTTTTAGCAATGAATACCAAATAAAATCAATTCTAGAAAATATTTCGATATCTTTTTCTTTTAATATGTATTCAAAAGTGATGAATGCATATCGTTATATCCAATAAAAGTGATTCTATAAATTTAACAACTGCTTTCATTGCTGAGCTTCTTAATACGATGTTTGTCAAATTTTTGGTGTGTACAGGGTGCAATTATTTTGACAATTATATAACCAGCTCCAACATGAAGATGCTAAGGTATTGCCACCAATTGCTTAGCAAATGTTGTCTTTAAGAACACGATTTTAAATATTTGCACTGTAATTATAGCGTTTGTCATTAAAAACAAAATTAAACATTTGCTAAATTGTGTGAAATGCCTTCGTGCGCAATTCTATTGTGTCCCTGCTTATGCACTGTAAGTGTTGGAAAATTCATTAGTCTTGCCATCAAAGACAATGCTCACTTAAATATTTCAAGCGAACGGCTTACCAGAAGTCAAAACTCAAATCATTTATGCAGTAACTGGTGCTTTATTCGTGGTAAAGTGTTCAAAAAAAAAAAAAAAGACAAAAGCTATATCCAAACGTGAATGCGAGTACTGGTAGCATATTAGTGAATACGTGAATACGAAGCTAAGTAGATTAATTATATTAATATTTGGATCGATTTCATTGTCGATGATTTAGCCGTTAAGAATCACCTTGAGCCAAGGGTTGGAATACAACAGTTTGGCTTTCGTCGTTGGCAGTCTTCGTTGCCTCGTACTTGATGCGATAGGATCCCTCCGGATCGTAGATTTTCTCCAAGCGTTCCCAATCATTTGGACGGTTATCAATCAAATGACGCGTCACTTTTTCAGCTCCATATTTTTGCTTCTCCGTACATTTGACGCAGTCCGTCATCATTGCATCGGGTAGGATATCTACAATGTGTAACTGAATGTTCAAAAGTGAATGACTTTACACTGATCCACTTACCCTTCAGCATCTTGGCATCGGGGGTGCAGGGTCCTTGATTCTCCAGACATTTGATATAATTATTGAGCAGACGAGCCTGGCCAAGTATCTCATCCAGATCGACATTGTCGAATTTGCTGTCATAGGCAGCTCCTTCGTCAGAAGCGTTGATCAGTCGCGCCGGCATTTCGGTAGTTGGTGGATGTGCCTCACAGCCACAAAGGACGGCCAGGAGTAAAATCAATTTAAAGCGGAACATGGCCAAAACACACAGATGGCAATTGTTTACTGAGAAGTGCATTTGAAGCTACAGCTTTTATAGGTTGAATATGCAAGGCATTGGGTTCTGGTCCAGCTGCGCATGATGTGCGTGTCTCTGGACAATTTAAGTGGCCCATGAGGCGTCCATATTATTGTGCCAAATGAACTGCACTCAATTGAATTGAATTATGATTGCCAGTGATTTGAAGCTGCAACTGCCAACTGCAAGCTGCAAACAGCAGCAGCGTCATGCAATGGGGGCCAAGAGGAAGCCATTGCTCTTAGCCACTGGAAGACAGCGTGTAAAGCACTTTAACTGTACACATTCCACACACAGCACATTCCTCAAGTGTTATTCTTGTGTATCATGCCATTGTCATTGGCCACACAACTTGGGGGTAGCACAGGAGTTGCAAGTCAACAACTCCTGCAGCTAACACAGCCAACAGATTTTACAGATTTGACATCTTTTTTGTGGTCTTTTCTTTCTTTTTAAGTGCTGACGCCTTTTGTCTTTTTGTTTTTTGGTGGATTTCATTTTGTTACTTCATTAGCATAAATACACACATTTGAGTGTCAGCGTGTGTGTCGCAGTCTGCGCCAAGTTTGGGGCCAGCAGCAGCAGCAGCCGCAACAAAAAAAAAGCCACCTGACCAGGTCGGACCACAGCCGCAGCAGATTTTGCTCATTTCTTGCAGCTCTCTTTCGCTTTTGCTCTCCCCTTCTCTCTCATCTCTCAGCTCTCTCTCTCTCTCTCTCTCTTTCTCTCTCTCCCTTTCTTCGACTAAGCGTGTGTTTATCTTAGACAGAGCTTGCAGAGCTCAGCCATGGCTCTGCACCATTTCCAATGCTTAAGACCAGCTAAGAACGATTCTGTATCTCGAGGATTGCGGACGTGTTTTGGCGTGTCGTGCGTGTTTCTTTCTCTTAAAAGAAAATACTATATATATATATTATATATATCTATATGTATATATATATATATATGTATATATTTGTTATTTTATTTTGCTATTTACTGTTTACTAGTGTGCGCGGTAATCTTTAGTCTGAGTGCCTATATAAATTCGCCATTTTTTTTCTTGACCCACTTGTGTTAACCAAGAAATTGTATGGTAATAGTAGTACAAGACCTCAAGGTCAGACCACAAATTCAATATGCATTCGACTTGTGCTTGTTTTTTTTTTTATTTTTTGCATTTCATCGCATATTTTTTATTAATTGTTTTTTTTTTTTTAGTGTCATGCATATGAATTATTTTATGTGTCTATTCAATCGATGACCATTAGCCATTCAATAAATTGCTTCGTGTTCGCCAACAAATTACAATAAAAATAGCTGAATTGAATGAAATTGTTTTCGATTTCCATAGTAACGACTTAATGCTCTATCTCAATCTATTTATTGTGCCTTTTTGTCGGGCAAATTTAATGTTTGATGCGAAGTTAGTTGCACAATAGAAATACAAGAAAAATGACTTGCAAATCACCTTCGTCGTATCTGCTAAAATTGGAGCAAATGGTAAGCAGTTGCTTGAGCCCAAGTATTTACTATTTCTTAAGTTAAGTGCTATAATACTAAGTGATGGTATTATTGCGTACACCCACACACACACACACACACAAGAGGCAACACGTGCGTTCGCAAGCTGTGAAGATTTGCTTTTGATCATGCTGCTCAAGTTGCTTATAATTGAATAGTTAGCCAGTGGCTATAACTATGAACTGTCATAAGCAGTGGTAACATGAAGACAACATGTGACTGAGACGAAGACGAAGTCGCCTAAATATGCGGAACGTGAATATTGCAAATGCGCCCACCTACGTGATGAACCAACAATTACTTGAGTTTGACTTCGACTTCGACTTGGAGTGCTATTCACACTGAATTCTTACTTATGGCAGCTTCGAGTTTGACATTTGCCGCCATTGAAAATACTCAGTACACAATTATATATATATATAAACACACACACACATCTATATACACGCTTAATATGTGTTTGCATGCAAATAAAGTGCTTGGCTTACATACAAAGTGCAAAGACTTAAGAATTCTCAAATCGGTATGCTTTGAGGCTACAACGCATGCTACTCAAATGGCTGAGACTACATACATAGTTCTAGCCAATAAACACACTTAGCCAAATCCATAACTTAAGACTGTATATAATAAATTAGAAGCGACTGGCACGAAAAGTAATTGAGAACCATAAATCACACACGATGCGCATATTTTACAACAGACAAACTAAACAAAATGTAATATATCTATTTGTATATATCAAATGAGTTATTTGATATTTTTGGGTAAATCAAATATTTACTGTGTGTCAAGTATTAGCTTGATCTTATACACAGATATACTTTTCTTTTGTTCAAAGGGTATCGTCTAGTTACCCAACAATTGTTCTGTGCATGTTCTAAGCTATTATTTGCTATTTGCTATTGTTGCTGTGGCTTTTAAGCGCCCACAACAGTCTGGTATTGAGGATTGGAGCAGAGAGTGTTTAATTTCATACGTGATTTGATGAAATACACGAGCAATTTGTACTCGCAAGTGGGAAAAATCAGAAAAGCGGCACAAACATGCCAAGGTATTTACGGGTACTTATGGCATTGTATGGCAATGCCAATTTTCCAATACATTTTCTAGCCAATTTGGTTTTGTTGGTCATGTGATTAGAACAGCAGCAGCAACGACGACGACAACAACAATAACAAAAACAATCATTGGCAATTTGCAGTCAATCAGAGCTGACATGCTTAGAAAACTGAAAATAAGTGTGGTTTCTGTAACTGTTTCTGTATGCATAGGCATAGGCGTGTGTTGTGGGTGGTTTAGATTTAATTCGGCAATTTAGCCATTATTGCTGACCATTTAAGCTGCGGCAGCAATTTGCATTCAATATGTTACGTGGCACGTCAGGTTGTTAGCAGCTAATTGTTTAATGATGCGGCAGCTACAAATCAAGCTACTTTAAACTTGTTTTGATTTTCAAATATATTTTATTATTTTTCGCTGCAATTGGGCCAGTACCAAAAGAGTCATTTGATGACGATGTTTTTCCGAGTATTCTATACGTGAATGCCTAAAATAATTAAATTATAACTAATTTAATTAAAGCGTTCTTTTGTGGCTTTTTCCTGCCGCAAATAATGATGTGAGCGCGTCATCTCCTTAACGCTACATTGAAATCCCGAAGTGAGTCAATGGGTTTTGGGACAGAAGCGGCAGCAGTAAAAACGGTGCTTTTTTTTTAGCCACGATCCCAGCACATTTATCACTGCCGCATCATTGGGGCCAGTCTAACAAGCCAGCCAGCCAGCCAGCCAGCCAGCCTAACGGTGGGCATTTGGCGAAAAAGAAATATATTTTCACTATGCCACAAAACCAAACAGAAATCAATAAGAGCCAAAATGTGTGTGTTCCAATTTTCCCGAAACTCGAATGTTGGCCGCTTACAGTTATCAGCTATTGGCCAGCTCGCACTCTGCAGCTAACGGGTGATGCTGCTCCAGCTGCTGTTGCTGTTACTGTTGCTGTTGCTGCCGCCTAACGACCTCAAAAACCAGTTAAGAGTCAGAACGAAGCGGTAGCTTCCACTCCACTCGACACTTGTTCGATGGAATTGTTGTTGCTGTTGCTGCTGCTGCTGCTGCTGTTGGCTGGCGATGTTTATAGCTATTTTTTTGTTGCTGTTGCTGTCGCTTCTGTCAAGTGTTCAGCATTCCTCGCAGCAAGGCCCAGTTGAGCGATTAAATGCACATATATCTGTTAGCATTCGGCACTCTTGGCTCATTGCTGCTGACACTTTTGCATATGTGCAACAGCAGCAACAGCAGCAGCAGCAGCAGCAGCCGCCGCTAGCACGCATATTTATGAGCATTTTTGTGGCTGTTTGATTTTTATTGCCCATATTTTTGTCTTTCTCTCTTAACCGATTTGTTTTATTGAATGTGAACAAGTTTTGCGACTACCAACATGTGGGTCACTTAGCCACTATGGCAACAGGTTGTTGTTGTTGTTGTTGTTGCTCATTTTTGTTGCTATTTTATTTCTGGTGTTGTTCTGCCTGCTGTTGATGTTGTCGGTGTTTTTGTTGTTGCTGTTGTTGTTATTGTTGTTGTCGTCTGTGGCATTTTGCAGTTGCAGGTGCAGTTTGCCTCCAATGCCGTGGGCGCATTCGTGTTTAGTTTCATCTGCCAGTTAATCTGCAATTGTTCAGCTTCACACATTATCTGTCCAACAACGAATACATGTAATAACAATTTGTTGCACACAGTGTCATTTACACTGTTCTACGACTCTTTTTCACTGAAGAGCTGACATTCACGATTCAAATGACATCAACTCAAATGTACTTTTTTTGTGGGAAATATTCTTTGAGCATGCAAAATATTTATGGGAGTTATCAACATGACTATTATTTGTGGCATCATCAATATGGATATTAAGACGATCTATGGTCATTTGTACTTAAAGCTTCTGATGACGGAGTCGTCACCTTATTCGGGTCACATAATAAAGCCAGTGGGTCGTTGTTGTCAGGAACAACAATGAAAATGATGGACACAAATGCTTTGAGGCTTTCTGGTCTCAACGGCGCCCAACTGTGACAAGCAGAATACCCCAAAAACAAAATACACATATATATATATATATATATATATATATAGATGCTGCCTGAAATGTTTCTCGCCCTTTGCCGCCCTACGTCTGTGTGTGTGTGTTGGCTTTTAATTAATGACTCTAACCCGATTTGTAAAACAAAATAAAACCAAATAACACTAAACCGAAACGCGAAAAAACAACAACCGAAAACAGGTGAAAGTACGGCTAGGCAAAATACAAACACAGCAGACAACAAACAAAGCGAGCAACAACCGGCAGCAACAATAACAATAACAACAATAACAATAACAACTGGTTTTCGGGGTGTTGGAATGTGCGGCTGGGCTGGCGGCTCTAGAAAGTGTTACATAGCACACAGACAACAACAACAACTACAACAACGACAATAACAACAACAGCAGCAAGTCTGATTGGTGGCTTGAATACTAATATGAATATGATTTTGAAATGATCCTCGAGTGGACCAAAATGTCAGCTAACGATAATTACAAATTGACCCCTTCGAATCGAATATGGGTCAACTTTGGCTTACATATGTACATATATTAGGCGAAACACGAAACAAACAAACTTATAACCCTATCAGAGTGGCCATATACCGTAGCCATTTAGCCATTATGAAACAACATGAAGTAAGAATAATAACGAGGTCGTGAGTCTTTGATCTTTTCCACAACTTCAACTGCTGGCGGCTACCATGAATTCTTTGGAACTAGTTAACAATAAATATTAGAAGCTGAAGATGAAGTCAAATTGCATAAAACATCGTTAAGATGTTTTTGAATCTTAACAAATTTCAAATCTAAAAAGCCAAAGCTTAAGTCGCATAAGCGAATTCTTTTATATGAACAATTGTTGTTATTGATCAATAGATTTGCTTTTTTTTTTTACCTTTGTAGGCGTTATTACAATTTGGTCGTGACATGTGTAACGCATTGAAGGAGACCTATCCGATCCCATGAAGCATATATATATTGTTTTAATTGTGAGATCGAGATAGGCAGACGGGTAGACAAACTTGTTACCCCTTCTATTCAGTTGAAATGAGTTAGATTAATAACATATAATAATATATATATCAGATTAGGCGGACTAAGACAGTATGGAATCTTCGGCATGCCCAAGATAAACGTTCTTTCTTCACGTGCAATTTGATTTTGAACGCTTGAATTATTGTTTGATCTTCCAAATGACAAGCCTTACGGCTACTGCCGCTGAAAACACTTTCGTTTCACAATTTTTCAGAAATTGAAACTGAAACTGAATCTGAAATTCCCATTGCCAACTCGGGCGCTTTCATGCATAATTTGGCAACATGGGCCACTGAATTGTGTTTATGTATTATGTACGTAGCTGATGCTCGATTTAAGTATTTCATGTTTGTTTTATTCATTTCATTTTTTTTTGGGTTGCCGTGTCATTTGCATGAGCTTCGAGTTTTGAATAAATCCGGAATACAAATGCGACGCACGGCATTTGGTTGCGTTGGATTGTTATCAACGTTGTTTCACGGCAGTTTCATTGAAAGCGAAACCGAAACCGCCACCAAAAATAGAAAAAACCACAAAAATCGACTCGTGCAGATAATCGGATAATCTAGGCAACTATTTATGTACATGCATATATTGTTGTAGTACATAAGAAAGCACATTATGTGAATGCAATAATTTTGCACACTTGACTGGGCCCCCTGCTTAGGGAGCAGCCAACAGCCAACACGCAACAAGCAACAGGCAAGAGGCAACAGTCAGTAGGCAGGCAGTTGGCAGTTGGTAGTTGGCAGTAGGCAGTTGGCAGTGCCTGCACTTCGCTTGGTTAGGTGCATTGACTTTTCAAGCACGTGCAGGCTATGCTGATGCATGTCTAATGCCAGGCGACTCAACGTCGATCCACTGACGCCCATGGCGATCCGTTCCAAACGACACGTTGAGTTCATTGGCCATTGGCCATTGGCTATTGGCCAGTCGCTGGGCGCCATTCGTTGTTTTGCTGCCAAATCCGCGTGGTCGACTCAATATTTTATGCCGGAGACGGAGGACGGTCATAAACAACAGCGTCCAAGGCTTGGCCCCAGTCCCTAGCGACCTGTCGCTGCCGCTTTTAATTATGCAGAACACGCCAGCTCAAAAAAAAAAGAAAAAAAAAGAAGAAAAAGAAAAAACAAAGCACATTTTCAAAATGCATTTACTTCGGCTTGCTCGCCAGCCGGTAAATTATAAAGAGTCCATAATCAACGGGGCGTGGCGTATGCGCAAAGCCACAGTTCAGCTTCAAGACTTGCTGTCAATAGTCCCTAGAGCATAGTCAGCTTATCAGCCATGTGTCCAGCCACATCTGATGTTGAACCCTTAACCTTGATAAATGCATCCTTAACTGTGGCTTCATAGCTGGTTCATAGCCAACAAGGTAAACTTGAGAGCACTTGGCAGCTTGCAGCTTGCAGCTATAATATTTCTAGTCCTCATCTTCATGGGATATTATTGGTAATTTACAAGCACACAAATCAACTTAATTCTTGCTATAATATCATTAATATCATTAAATATTCTGACGCATCTATTTTAATAATATGCATTCCACCCAAACTTTCGCTAGCATTTTTTAAGTATTTAAACCAATTTATTCTTTATCTTTGCCATTCTAAATGAATAATTCTGAAGAATTATTTGGCAGGCGTTTGTTTTCTTTCTTTGTCTTTAAACTGCTTTCAGTTGTATTTCTTATTTTTTTGCGTTTTTATAGTCTCATCAATCACTTTTACACAATTCAAAACTTTCATCTCAATTTGAATTAAGTTCCATATTGTCTTGTCATTGTATATATATATATATCTATATATATTTCGAGATTTTCATCAAGCTATCATCGTGCTCATCAACAGTGATTAATTTTGATGAAAGTATCAAGATATTTTTTTATTAAATACTTTATAGTCGTTATCTTTGGCACTCCGAAGATTACATACCCTTTTAGACCGGAATTCATCTGCTGACAACTTAATTTTAGTCCATCGAAATTTATATCATCACTTTTATTATGAGTTCGGCGAGGTCTCCTTCAATGCACAAAACTTTACGACAAAATTATAATGCACTTTACTGGGGTATAATAAATGTAAAGTATGTATACATGAGTATGTATATATGTATATATGTATGTATGTATGGATGTATGTATGTATGTATGTATATATGTATGTATGTATGTATGTATGTCACTTGCTTGCCCTTAACTTGAGCAACGAGCTGGAAACCTCGATGTTCTTAACGCGAGTGCATTTTGCTTGAGTAGGAATAAAGCATCAGGCACGAAAAGCGCACAGACAATGCATATTAAGGTGATACTTATTCACAAACCCCCCTTCCTCCTCCCCTCTCCCACATCCCACTCTATTAAACTTCGTCGCCCTTTTTTTTTTTTTTTTTGTAAAGAAGGTCCCATAGCCAGAATGTGCAGCGTCGTGACGATGACTTCCTACTTCCGCTTACGAGTACAAGCATTACGATCGTGTCACGCTGCGTTGGCGTATAAATACGTGAATGCGATTGTGAATGTGACTGTGAATGTGAATGTTATTGTGTGAATGTGAGTGTGAGTGTGAGTGTTAACGTGAACGTATGTATCGTAATTATGGCCTAGGCAAGTCTACCAGTGTTCCTACTTCTCCAATGTTGGCCCCGGCACATTGGCCTCTTATACACACTCACATACATATACATATACATATACATATACATATACATATACATATACATATACATATACATATACATATATACAATACCTATAACCATAACTATAATATCGACTACAATTTGTAGATAAGAGCACGAGCATTTGTTGTTGTTGTGGCATTGCAAGTACTTGAGTACACTGAGCTAAATAATACTACCTAAAGCTTAATTAACGATGTGGACATAAAATAAGTAAGAACGATTACCTTAGTCATGCCACTGGAGTCAGAATGACGACATTTAATTTGCACCACTGAAAGCTCTACGGCTTAGTCTCCCGATCTCAACAGCGGTCAACATCGGGTTGCCTTTCCGAATGTTAATAGCATTATAAGATGCATAACTGGTGACTTTGGTTAGCATTCAAACTGGTGTTCTGTGTTCGAGGTTAAAGGGTTCAGTTACAATTTAAATCATAAAATTGACATGAGGTTGACATAGAGTTGTCAGTTGTCTAAATGTTAATTTGTTACATACTTTAAGCTGCCGCCTCTACAAGGCTATAAAAACACTACAAATTGTTGCGCGAAAACTTCCTACTTTAAATTTAAGCTATTTCTTCGAAATGCCTGAAGTATTTCTCTCTGTATACTAAGTATCTTGTGTACCATCAGTATTAAGCTGAAGTTGCAAGTTGCAAGTTGCAAGTTGGAAGTTGCAGTTGCAGTTGTGAAGTATCCAGAACGATGCATTTGTGGCTCAGCTGCAATGTTCTATTTCTCTATCTTTCAGTTTTCTGTTCCTACGTTTTGCACTTTGCCTTTCCACAATTTGTATGCCAGGCTGTGTCTCATTCGCTGTTGCCCATTGTTGTTTGCCTTTTTGTTAGCTTAGCTGGCTTTTGAGCTTAGCTACCGTAAATAAGTCAATCAACTTTTGTTGCGTTTGCTCGGCACGTCCCACAAGCAAATTATACTTTGGAAAAAACCTTCATTTTGCCCCTTCTTCTCCAAAGTTATAAAACAATGATACATATTTGTATGTACGCAAGCGTATGTGATTGTTATTACATATTAAATAAGTTCATTACTGTCAGCGATATACTCGGGTAACGATAAACCGATGCTAATCAGTATCCGCATTATGTCATAAGTCTTAACAGGAGCACTATTTGAAGAATGTGCGGCTCAAATCGAAGCACATAGCTGCAATTATAGCTTACAATTAACTAATAATAATAGTTCCAACTGACCAACTCAATGTATTCCATTATTTATTATTACAGGGCTCCGATCCACGAGCGGCCACCTGTCGAGGAAAATTGCAGAGTCGTCGCTGTAAATTGAATCAAGAAATCAATAAGGAACTGAGATTGCGCGCCGGTGCCGAGAATCTATACAAGGTGGGTGCATCCAAGTCCCTTCTCGTATTTCTAGCTATTCACTGCCGAGGGTAACTCCTAATATCTCTAGCAACTCATCTTTGAATTTGTTTTTAATCTATAGTATTTTGACTTGAGACTTACGTAAATATCCCTGTAGAGTTGAGTTTAACCAGAAAGAATGACTATCTCAGGCAGCCAAATGATTGCAGGCGGAAGTCAACCTGCGAATTGTATTTGAATTGGGACGTTGAATTGAGGAATACGTCTTCATCTAAAGCCAGAACCATGACTAAACAAGAAATAGCGTTTAACGAATTGGCTACACCTAACTTTGACTATATATTTCAACAACTTACCGATTGTTCCTATGAGTGATGTGTGATTTAGTACTCAGATGTTGGGATCATAATACAACGCATAAATAAATACAAAGGTTTTCATAGCAAAGCTTATCTTTAGATAGATTGTTCCTATCAGAGCTAGATGATATAGTTGTCCGATGATTTTTAATGCAAACATATCACAACAGTTTGCTTAAGATAAAAAGGTAAAGCAAAAGTTCTTCTTACAAGAACTCATTTCTCGGACGATCCCTCTCATGACTGCTATATGATACAGTCATTCGATTCAACCGACTTTCACATATGTAAAAAGTTGGATATATGCCAAGTTTCATCAAGATAGCTTCAAGAATATTTATACTTCAATAGGTTACAAACATTACAACAAAATAATCGAAAATCGTTTCAGTTTTGACAAAGATATTGCATTGCAAATTTTGGATGTATTTAGGCAATTTTGGTTTGGGTGTAACTTGAACACTATTTATTCGCAAGGGTCTTTAATAGCTGTAGCTGTACCATCTTGAAAGCAACCATGTTGTAAGCATCTTTAAAATGATTTGCAGGCAACTACAAATCGCAAGCTGCGAGATACCGTCGCCTTGGAACTGAGTTTCGTCAACTCCAATTTGCAGCTGCTCAAGGAGCAATTGGCTGAGCTAAACTCTTCTGTGGAGATCTATCAAAGCGAAAGGTGAGTGATTAGATCATTAACTGCTCCACTGGCTACAGCGATCAACCTGCGCCCATTTGCCAAATAATTTGTTGGCGATTTTTGTTTGTTTTTTTTTTGCTTTTTTTTTTTGTTATACCTTTTTTCTCGTTTTTGTTTATAGGCATGCAAATGTTGAAATTTGTTGCTGAAGTTGTAGTTTTGGTTGCCCTGCTGCTGGCTGGGTTCGGGTGGGTATGCAACTATTATGGGGAGCTATCCGGCTGGGCAGCTGTAATTTTTGCGCATCAGTTTCTGGTCAAGCGCCTTTTTGCGCCGTCGAGCGGAACGAAATCACAGCACAAAAACAACAAAGAAAGTGAAAAAGCGTCATTAAATGCACAACTGACAAAAATACAAATATGAAACAACTAGCGAACAGTAAAAGTATTTCCACAATGAACTGATTGTGTTTCCCATAGCTACAAATATACCGATCTAAAAACAATGTAAATACTACAACTTTTAGCTTTAAAGCTAGTTCCGAAAATATAAATGTGCAACGGGGTAGGTAAAATGAAATCAAATGAAATTAAATTAAATGATCAAAACACACAAAGAAAACTCAATTACTACAGGAGGATTGGGGTTCGGTGCGCGAAAATTAAAGATCGCAAAAAATACAAATTGTTATAATCATATGTTTATCATTATCACAAGAAATGATTGCAAGGTTGATTGGAGCTGAGCATTTAGTAGGATTGGCGAATCGAACTTGTCATTTTTATAAATAACCAGCCGGAACGACTTGCTTTACCAAATTAAAAACCTTTTCCCTTTCCCAAGTGATATTCTATTATTTGTTTGTTATTATTAGTTTCTTTTATTATTATTTAGTATTTTTATTTTAAAGCTTGAAAGAATTTTGGCAGCTCAACTATATTTGTAGTCTGTGTAATGTTTTGTGTTGGGCTTAGGAGCTAAGTTTCGGAATAAAAGATTTGCATAAAAATATGTGCTTAGACTGAATCTAATCTGAACTTTACTTTGGCCGTCCCAACTTACAGTCATGAGGGTATTATGCCCATGATACCTTTGGGGCTCAAGGAGACAAAGGAAATCAATTTCATGGAACCGTTTTCGGACTTCATATTGGAGCACTACAGCGAAGAGCCCTCGATGTATATGGATGCCATAGCCGATATGACAGACACCAGACAGGTAAAATCCGACGATAAATGTACTTTTGTACTTTTCGATTTCACATCAATTAAATGCAGGCTTCGAAGACGCCGTCGCGGGACGCTCTTGGTGTGGCGCTGCTATTCCGTTACTACAATCTGTTGTATTATGTGGAACGGCGCTTCTTTCCGCCCGATCGGAATCTGGGCGTATATTTTGAGTGGTACGACTCGCTGACCGGTGTGCCCTCCTGCCAACGTACCATTGCCTTCGAGAAGGCGTGTACTCTTTTCAATCTGGGCGCCATCTACACACAAATCGGGGCACGTCACGACAGACGCACGGAACGCGGCTTGGACGCGGCCGTTGATAGTTTTCTGCGTGCTGCCGGCATTTTTCGTCACATCTACGACATATTCACAAATGCACCATCGATGGACCTGAAGCCACAGGTGCTCGACGTTCTTGTCTCGCTTATGTTGTCCCAGGCGCGTGAATGTCTCTTCGAGAAGCTACAGCTACAGATTGAGGCCTTGGGTCTAATGGAGTCCAGTCATGTAAGTGTCATTAATACCTATAAACATGGAGAAGAAACAAAAACTGATCACACTTTTACATCTTTGAGTGAAGATAGTCACTTCTTCATATCGACTTGCATCTATACATAATATTAATCAAATCAGAATATGAAGATGAATTGAAGATGTTGATAAATATTGTAAAATGATCTGCATGAAAATGTTGATAAGCATGCCAAAGCAATCTGTTTCAATCTTGATAAACTTCAAAGCGAAAGAAATCTCTAAAGTTTATCACATTCTCAATCGGCATCTTCTCGTCTAAGTCTGTGATTTGAGTTAATTCAAATTTGACGGTTTGTTTTGACAGTCTTCAACGGTCATATCCAATTTCCACTTCACCTGAAGCTGCTTTTGCTGGACTTTGCTGTTATCAATGGCACGAGTACGTGAGAGCTGACCAAATGTGGCAGCTGCGTGTGTGTTGACCATTTGACCATTTGAGCATTTGACCATTTGCTACTCGATTAGTTGACCCAATGGCTTATCTGCATGTGCATGCACTTTAGCTGTTAGCTGTTAGCTGAAATGTGAGATGACTAAGTCGATGTCTGAATTCATTGAGCTACCAATTATTTCAGCTCTTTCGGGACTTGGCTGGTGAGGCGGCACAGCTATCGCTGGAGTACAACGAGATGCACAAGAACATCCAAGTGAATGACACGCACACCTATCTGCCCGAGTGCTGGGCGGGTCTGGTGCCGCTCAAGGCCGAGTTGTACAAAGGTGAGCCGCTATTGTTTGGCCATGGTAGTATTGCCTAAATGACTCAAACATAATAACAATAAATAAATTTGCATTCATCTAGCGCTGGCACATCATTACGAGGCGCGGAGCATTGATGCGTCTGTGGGCGACAATGGCGACAATGTCTCGCTGGGCACCAAAAAGAGTCAGACAGTGTCATCGAACGAATCGTTCATTGGCAATGCGCGGGAGGCGCTGCGTGCCACAGAGGCAAGCAGCGAGTGCGATGAGGAAAGCGTCAGCGTTGCTGCCATCAAGCGCACCCACTTGAAAGAGGCACTGGCTAGTCATGAGGAGGCGCAGCGATTGCAGCGCATGTGCCGCTACCTAAAGGTGAGTCACTTGCAACGTAAATAAATAACAAAAAAAACAAAACCAAAAAATGTGCTCATCGTGCACGCATTCCTTCAATTGCAGAACAAAACATCCCTCACACAGGTCATCAAGGAGGCGTACTACAAGACACAGGACGAGTATGAACGTTTCTGCCTGCAAGCGCCGGCCAAAAACATTGAGGAGTGCTACGATCTGGTTGAGCGCACGGTCGAAGGTGACATATCTCATCAACAGAGCAATGTTCCAAAATGTTCATATATATTTGACTTTTTTTGTTTTTTTGTATGGCAGCATCGTCGAAGTTTACGCTCTCGCTGACCGGCCCAGATTTTACATCATACAAAGTGGATGATCCCTTTAAGCGACTGGGTCCCATTGCAATATTCTCCGCACGCCGCCACTGGACAGCACCGCGTTGTGTACGACTGCAGAAAGGTTCGGCGATGTACCATGATGCGAGCAGCTATCATTGCCACTGTCCCACAGCCGATGAGAGTCACGAGGCTGGCTGTAGTCTGTACAAGGAGGAGCTCGAGAATTTTGGCTTTCATGTGCGTGGCGATGCCCCTGTGATAATCGCCCACGTCGAGATCAATTCGCTGGCCGATGTTAGTATGCTTTAAGCCTTGACTGCCTTGGGCCAACTGAAGCTAACAAGTAATTTCATTTTCAATACGCAGCTGGGCGGCATCAAGGAGGGTGACTTCATCGTTGAAATCGCTGGCATGGATGTCAAGTGGTACTCGCACCAGCAGGTGGTTCGGCTCATACAATCGTGTGGTGCGGCTCTGGAACTTAAAGTTATCACGCCTATGGATCGTAATTATCTAAAGGTGGGCTGTTCACTATATATGTATATACAAATATTGTTTATTTCGAATTATTTATTATATTATTGTTTATTTATAAATTACAGCCACTATCGTCGAAGGGATCCATATCAACGTTATCGGCTGCCAGCTCGTCGGGCGTTTCGTCTGGGTCCTCCAGCCCCACCAGCACCACCACAAAGCCCAAGCTGCGCCTCAAGACATCAGCGAAAACGCGTTTTGTGGGCAGCGTTTCATCCAGTTCATGGAATCCCTTTCGACGTACGCCGAGTCTAGCGAAAATTTTTTAAGTGCTATCAAATTAAATCGTTGCACTAGGGATTCTTTAGCTTAAGTTATGCTTTAATTTGCGCAGCGCAGTGGCCATTATTTTGCTTAAATGCAAACTGGATTTTTTTTTTTATATATACATATATGTATATATGTATAAATATAAACATGTACTTTAATGCTGAGGCGGCGAGCCTTTAGTAATATCTGCTCTGAACTATTTATATTTTGGCAACTGTATTTTTATGTTATGCTCCTCGGGACTCCATTTATTTTCTGCCAGCATGGAAAATATCTGTGAGAATGCGAATGAATCATGCATAAATACGGTTAATCATTTGTTAATCTATGGAATAGTTCTGCAGAACTTTAAATTCTGTAAATTATTTTACGAACATTTTTGAGCAAAATGTGTATAATTGTATAACACTTCTGAGAGAGAGACAAAGAGAACGCGAGAGTGAGAGAAATAATGAGAAATCAGTTCAGAGTAAGCGCCGCAGATCCCAAAAAAAAGTATTTACATATTCAACAATCGTACATGCAGAGAGACATATATAAATATATATATATATATATATACGTATATACATACATATATTTCATTGCATTAAGGCCTTCAACATGCTATGCGTTATGTTAATTTAAATATAACTATATTTAAATGTGTTTCACGTTAATATATAACTCAGAATTCACAATGAGTTAATCATACGTAGATTTCTATGTATATATGTATATTATTAAGTAACAACTATTTTGTATACATTTTATAAAAGCCATTTTATATAACATACATATATATTCGTATATATATATATATATATATTACATTACATAAAAAGCACGTATTTTATTGCATTGATAAAATATTTATTAATAAATTTTTATATGTGTGCAAGTCAATAACATTCTTTTTCATATACGTTCAGAATTTGAAGTTGATATGTCAACAGTATGGCATTTCTACAGTTCGATAACATCGATAATATAAAAACTAGAACTGTCTCATAAAATTGATATTCTCTAGCTATTATAGGATATCAGACACAGCTTGTGACAGTTGACAGTTGAATATGAATTTCATAAATGACTAGCGATTTTACCAACTACTAAATAAGGTTTGCAAATATATATTTCAAGTTCAAATAAATCTAGAGTAAAATAGATCTGGTGTAAATAGGGAAATTTTATTTTTTAAGTATTATATAAGAACAAAAAGTGTAAATACGAGCATTTAAGCATTTAAATTAGTATATAAACAAAAAAAAAAAAAAAAAACTAGTCTAATAATTAGATAACTTACACTTAACTGTAATGATCCTAAGTACAAATCCAAGCATTCGCATCCCGAACAAAAGCTAACTGCACCAATCGTCCAGTAAGGAGCATTTTTTAGTTTAGATAACATATTGGCCACATTTAATTCGTAATCAACATCAAAAGTACACACAAAGTGAACACTTTTCCGTTTCCTCCAGCGACACTTACAACAGATAGCCAACAATATCGTCATCATCAACGTCGTCGTCGCCCGCAATTTGTCGACGTAGCTCGCAGCGACCCAGAGCCTCCAGGTACGGCTGCAGCACCGACATCGAGCGTCACTGATGATGCTGATGTTGATGCCTATGGAGTGGCGATGGCTGCGCTTGGGCATTAGCCGCCAGTTGGGCGGACGAGTGCAGAAATGGTGTTAGCAATTCCATGGGCAGCGGGAAGATGATCGTCGAGTTCTTCTCCGCTGAAATGCTGCTCAGAGTTTGCAGATAGCGCAACTGCAATGCCGACGGACTGGCCGAAATGATCTCCGATGCCTCCTTTAGTGCACGCGACGATTTCATCTCTCCCTCGGCGGCAATCACTTTGGCACGTGCCTCACGCGCTGCCTCTGCCTCTGCAGCCATTGCGCGCTGCAGCGCTGTGGGCAACGAAACGTCCTTGCTGGAAATGGGGCAAATATATTCCATTTAATAAAATTGAGAGTGAAAGATAGGAGTGTTCTATACAAGAGCCTAGTCCGAACAGACTTATCTAATCATATAAGTATATACTTCTACCCTTTAGCTTGCCATTGCAAAACTGTATTTAACTTAACAAAATTTAGAGTTAAATATAGTAATATATGTAGCAAAAAGTATAAGAAATCTATATCGATTAGGATTTTAGTTCTAATCAGCAATATGTATTTACGGTTGACTAGATCTGAAGATGTATATATATATTGGCTTTTCTACGGATGAATTTCAATCCAGTTTAGATGCGTATTGAAATAGGTTAAGGATCAAATATTCAAGCTTCTTAACTTAAGAAAGTTTATTGTCATAAATGATAAATGAATTCGATAAATTCTTTGATCGACTTACATTTCGACACGTTCCACTTTGACGCCCCAGGGATCGGTGGCCTCGTCAAGGGACATTTGCATGGTGTGCGAGATGGTCTCGCGTTCGGTGAGCAGCTCCGAAAGATTGCGTGTGCCGAGGACGTTGCGCAGCGTGGTGGCGGCCAGGAGTCGTGTGGAGTGGCTGTAATTGGATACCTGAATGACGGCCTTGAGAGGATCACTGATGCGATAATAGACGACCGCATCGACAGTGACTGTTACCGAGTCCTTGGATAGCACCTCCTGTGGCGGCACATCGAACGAAACGGTGCGCAAATCCACCGGATAATAGTCATCCACACAGGGCAGCACAAAGAAAACGCCTGGCCCACGAGCTCCACCACTGCGCAATCGACCCATGCGAAAGATGACAGCGCGCTCGTACTCGGAGACCACCTTGAAGCAGATGAACACCGAGATCGGAAACGTCAGCACCATTATCAACACAGATATGGCAGTCGCCAGCAGCTCCACGCAGCCCATTTCATCATTCTCAGCTGCCAGATATAGAAAGGGGAACACAAATTAGAGGATTTTGGCAATTGAACATCAATTGAAGGCACATGTTCCTAATGCGGCACTTGTTGCTGCTCGTGAAACACAAATGTTTTTCCATGCTGCCTCGGAATGCCGTTTGTTGTGCGACTGCAGATTGACAATTACTGGAACCCCGAATAAGTCGAAACTAAAGATACAATCTTGACAATTATTTATTATTGATCATGGAATGGTTTTTATGTTCAATAAACAAATTAAGCAGGCAGGACTAACTCAACTCAAGGAATTCTCCAACTCGTCTACAACTCACAATTTTCTTGGTAATCAATTAATAAAGTTGCTTAAGAGCTAAATGGAGAATAAGCCGAAAATAAATACATCAAATTAAAGATGTATCCTATGGTCTTTTGTTGATTTCGCCTAATAATAAAAGTAATATTTTGTAATGCTTTTATTTGCATTTAGAATTGGGTACAATTTTTAAAAGCCAATATTAGCTGAATACTTTTCGAAATGATGTGCTTTGATAACAGTTAACACGTGTTGTATTCGGGCCATATGTACGAAAATTAAATATATGAAAATGAAATTTTATGGCCATGCCTAGTTAAGTCCCAATTCAGAGATTCGTTTGAAACGATGGGTAAAAAAAATAATGGTTTCTAATAATGTGAATGTGGAGCGATCCATCAGCTCAATGCTGCCTTACTTATGTATGTACATAAGTAGGTATTTATTTATTGCTAAATTAGCCTCTGGCACATATCTTTAAACATGAAAACCTTAAGTACAAACATACATATGTATTTATATGCGTACATACACTCAGAAAAATATCATTTTTTCTTCATCTCGGAATTTATAAACTTAGTAAAATATCTGTTTAATAATAATATATACAAAAAAAGAAAAAATTGTACATTTTTGCGTTTTGTGTACCCATGAAAAAACCCCTAGAAATTAGACATATATTTTCTTAATTTTAGAAAAATGTACCCTGGATTTAAGAGAAGAAAACTCTGGTTCTTAGGAGGACACAACTTTCTGTTTTAGAAATATAATTTCCGAGTTACCTTTGGCGCCAAAAGAAATTTTGGGCGATTTTGTCTCTGAGTGTACTCGTTATTGTATTTACTGCATATAATTTAGTGTAGTTTTCAACGAACACTGGCAGCTTCAACTAATACTACCAATAGCAGCAAACTAAACAATCGCCATGGTGCCGGGCCAACTGGAACATTTATGGAATGTTTATGTAGTACGAGTACGAGTGCGAGTACGGATATATGGTGGCCAGTAGGCAGTCAGTCTATATGCGGATGGCAGCCGGGTTATTTTCAGCTTGAGCTTTTGTTTATCTTATAAGTTTCGACAATACGATTTATATCATGGATACGGATTGCATTGGGTCGGATCGGATCATGTGCCGACTCGACGCGTCAATCGTCTTTTATTTATTTTCACTTGTCGGCACACACTGTTTATTGTTTGTTGCATACTTCATAGGTGGTCGTGGCTATCTGATCGATACAATTCAATACGGCTAACTGCCACCGACGTCTAATGAATCAGTTTTATCTCTGCTCGCTGTGGCGCAACAATTCGTTTTGAATTATGATTTTCGATCGCATAAAAATGCAAATTTATGGCACATATATGGAAAGTGGTGGGTGGTGGGTGGTGGGTGCTGTGTGGTGGTAGGTGTTTGGGAGGGGGTGGGGGGGGGGGGGGGGTTGCTTGCTCTCTGAAGATTGAGTTTGAGGTCGCACATAACGAAAACTATTTGTATCGCATGTAGTTGTATCTTTAGTCAGGCGTGAGCATTTAATGTACTGAACAAACAATCCGTATGAACTCAGAAATGCGGCCAAATTTAACATAAATCAGTTCCCATATTGGAATAGAATCCCGAAAGCATTAAATCAAATATATTAGACATTTTGAAGAGCGAAGCTAAAGGATGATTTTAATATAAATATGGAATTTTGATAAAATGCGTAGGATTTGCCGTTAAGCGACTATTAATTTTCATATTAATTTATTTATATTTACATGTTTTAAGTCCTTGATAGGGATGTGTGCTGGAGCTGATCTGCACCGTGTGCTGCTGCTGTTGATGCTGCAGATGCTGCTGCTGTGGACTCAGAGAAAAGGAATCCGGAGGGTTTTGTGTTTGTACGGCGCCGGCTCCTGGTGCGCTGACATTGAGGCGTGTGCGATGCTGATGCGGCGAGGCAGGATGCATTTTGGATAATGATATTATGGGATGTGTGTGTGGTGTACGTTGCTCCTCTGTTGAATTTGAATCGATAACAAAGTGCACGATCAGCACTGCACGCGTTCAGCGCACGTTTTCAAGTGAACAGCCTGCCACACGTAGCAAGCATCGAGGCAGTTGTTCGGCTCATTTCACACGTTGCCGATTACGGCGGCGACGCCCCGCATCCGGCTAAAGAAAATCCACAAAATACACGAGACGATCGCGGAGGCAGCAGCGATTCCAGTTCATTTTTTTTTTTTCTGTTTTCTTCATTTCATTTTTTTGTTTTGGTTATTTCTCTCTGTTGTTTAGATTATTAGAAATGAACGAACGAACGAAAAACTGTGGAGGAGCTGGAGATAATTTATAAAGCACTTCAGGCAACCAAAAGTTGCTTTATTCTTGTCTGCCAACGGGGCCGCACTGGGTGCCTGTCGGAGGTGGTGCAAGTTGTAAGACATTTGTCTTAATCCGGCAAGAACAGCCGCTGTAGATCTATTAGCAAGAAAAGGTCAAGCAATTTCAAAAATTTGACAAAGCTAAGAGCTTTGCAGTCTTGGCTCTAGTTAATAATCAAGAAACGCAGTGCATGATGGCCCATTTCAACATTGGGCAAGAGGTGACAGATCGAAAGGGCTCCATGATCTCTATTCAAAATTATAAAACAATGTAGGAAAATAGATATTTATTGGCAAATAAAAATTGCACTCTCTGAAAATGCACGTATTTTTGGGTTGTGTCAAAATGTTCCATTTGAAAGTGAAAAAGAGAAAAATTGACAGTATATAAATGGGGATATCTAAAGCGTCTATATAGTTTTTAAATGATCAAGAGTCTATTTTGGGAGAAATTGAAAGTGCTGCTTCTGTTTCGAAAAAAGCTTGATGAAAATTCGATTTTTTCTTGCTATCGAAAGTTTAGCTTCGAGCAGCAAGTCTAGCGATTTGTATTCAAGGATTCTTAGAATTTTCAAAAACAATTTTAATTCGACCATCTTTAATTATACGTGTTATACACAGAGTCGTTGTTCTGCCAAATTGAAATAAATATATAAGAACGAAACTCCTTTAATCAAACAAGATCAAAGGATATTTCTCTGTTTACTCATAATCTTTAGAGCCATAAGCTGGTCAAACAACATTCAAATTAAAAAGACCTGGTTGTTGGTAGTTGCCAAGAAGTTTTCGTTTTTGGCTCGTTTCCGTTCCTTCTATGACTTTAAGTCGACAAAGCTAATCCATACAGTTGGCCTAATTGATAATAATGCAGCAAGTCCTTTAAAAATCTGTTAGAATATGGCTAGTTGACAACTGTTTTTTGCTGATTCTTAATTATTTTTGCAATTGTCCTTTTGGCACATCCTAAAAGTATGCTTTAAGCCTCTTCTGAAACTAGTTAACAACAACAACAAACACCTGCGAAGAAAAGCACAAAAATGATGATTAAAACACGTCATCAACGAAGATTTGATGATTTGTTGAAGACTTACTATTTTGTTATGATTACGCACGTTGGGAAAGTGCGCGTTAATTTTCCGGAATGCGAAAACATAGAATACGCCCAAATAGCCACAACGAAAAGCGGCTTGTGCAATTCTGTTTACATTTGCGATTCTTGTTTTGTGTTACGCATGTTTCACGCTTCCCATTTGGATTCTAGAACGATAATTGAATTAACGTTTGTGCTTTTATTGGTTACACTGCATTTGCTTTATTGTAATTGTTTCGTTTATAACAAATTATTATGCAATAAATGCGCCTTTTGCTTTTCTGGCTATATCGAAAGTGTTTTTTTTTTTGTTTTTCTTTTTTTTTTGTGTTTTCGTTAATAGGGCATAGATCAAATGAGATTTGGAAGTCTGCAGACGCAGTTAAATTTACAGATCGAAATGTATATACAATGTATAATTGTAATTCTATATACGTATTGATATATTTATATAAGTATAATAATTTGGATTCTTTGTTGTTGAGCTGAAATGGTAAGGCACTTTCTGGTTATATATATATATTTATATATGTATATATATACATAACTTACATATATTTTTGTGTATTGTATTGTAAGTTTCACGATTGATTGCTAATTGCGGTTTAAGTGTATGGATAGTTTCCAGAATTTGGTCGCAGCGTTTTAAAGAATAATGTATGTAAGGTTTCCATTATAAAAGAAAAAACATACATACATATATATATATATATATATATAGATATATATTTATATATATATATATATATATAACAAATGTAACAAAATGCATAGAAAACGTGTATCGATTCAATCAAATACAATAATTTGTTCATAAAATCAGTTTAAATTTCTCAGTTGTTTTTTTCGCAGTATTTTGCATATTATCAAAAAAATTTCAATTTGGCCGCTGTGAATATATGTACATATAGATAGTGTATATATATTCTTACAAATTACTTTTGCGTAGTAAAGCTAACACACAGATTGATGTACACGCGTACATAAATACATATTCCTAGTGTTTTAATTGACTGAGCAATGTGTATATTTAGCCCTGGTGCTGGCTGCAGCAATATGTGCCTCTCCTCTCAACATCACTCTCTCTCTATTTCTTTCTCTCTCGCTCGCTCGCACCCTGTTAATCTGTTCTTCTCACTCACTAATTGTGTTTGCATTTCATGCAAAATAAAAACAAATAATAACTTAAACAATCTAATAATCTTCTTTCAAGTATTTCTTGTGCTCTCCTATCAAATTCTTTTCCGCTACGGCAATCGCATGGCAGCAATTGATAAACAGCCAGAACCGCCGCCGCCACTTGCACCACATATTTGTTGTTGTTGTTGCTGTTGTTGGTGGTGCTGCTGCTGCTGGCGCCTTCGTCAATCGTTGTACATACCATCAACCAGAAAGTCCATGCGCCTGTAATGGCGTGTACTCCACAGATCCCGAAAGCGACGATACATAATGATAAAGACGGCAATGGCTAGCGGCACAGCAAGCATTACCGATATGATGGGCACAATATACTCATTCTCGCCACGATCGGCCAGGCTGCTCATCTCCTTAACGGGCAGAACGTGTGGTGCAACGCTTCCAGCGCCAGCAGCTGCAGCTGCATCCAATTTTTCGCCCTCCAGTTGCTTGGCCATGCTGATCGTTACTTTTGGCTTTTTAGGACGTGGTGTGGTAGTTGTGGTTGTAGTGGTTGTAGTGGTGCTGGTGGTGGTGGTGGTGCTGCTGGTGCTGGTGGTGGTGGTCGTTGTAGTGCTGCTGCTGCTGTTGTTGTTGCTGCTGTTCTTGCTGGTGTTGGCAGTGGCATTGACACCAATTGCTGGCCGTGTGCCGTTGCTGATACTGTTGTTGATGTCACCTAGTGTAACGCCGTTGGCAAGAATTTTGCCCGAGTTGGGTGTTGGATTTGTTGCGTTTGCTGATTTGATTGGTGGTGATGGGGCTTGCGTTGCAGTTGCTGTTGTGTTCCCGGATTTTGACTCTTGCACTGTGGCCGTATCTGTGTTGGTAACACCGCGTGCCAACACCGGATTCTGATTTGCCGTCTTATTGAGCTTACCCTCCAGTTGTGGTTGCATTGCTACCGCTTCTAATTTAGTGGGTTTCATACGTGGACCCACTGTTGTTGTTGTTATTGTAGTTGTTGTTGGCGCTTTGCTGTTGCCTGTGGCTGTTGTGTTTGTGGAATTGGGCCCATTGTTGCTGGCTGCAGTTGCAGTTAGTGTTTGATTGGTTGCTCCCTGCGCTGTGATCAACAGCTGCATCAATAGAAGCAGCACCGGAAAAGAAAACACGTTCATTTTGCGCATGTCGCTGTTCTTGAGTAAAATGCACTGCTGTTGCTAAAATTGGCAACAGTTTCGCTTTCGCTTCTACTCGGAATCTTGTGGAGTCCAGTTACAGCGCAGTCACGAAACTATCGATAGCTGCACGATAGTATTGGCATCGCGTGTGGTATCGATATGACATATGAAAAATACTGCTTGCATTAAACTATTCGATTGATAGTTTTCAAGACGCTGATTTAAATAATAATTAGTTAATAATTAATTATCTTGTCAGCACACCAACTAAATTATCCAATGCTTAATTATTAGAGAACAATAAAAAATATGTGCTGTTGCTGGCGGTGAACAACTGCTGGCAGTTTTATAACGGCAGCTGACGCAGATGCTATCGATATCCGCTTAAACATTGTAATAAATAAATACAAAACGAAACAAAAAATACTAGCCAAACTTCAATCATAAAGATATTGATATTATTTACATGTTTGTGGCACTTAATAACCCCTATTAAATCGTTGTAGAGGGAAACCGGATTGAATCACTTTATCAAAAAGTCGTAGAAAGATGAGTTTTTGTATAAGTAACTTTTCATTTTCCCTGACATGCTCAGGAATCGCATTAGTTAGTTTTGTAAATGTGGCAAATTGTTTTCAACATTGGAACAATCATTTGATTTTTTATAAATATTCATAATTAAAGTTAGACTTGGGCAGGTGGAATCTGGTCTACAAGTGTAGCTCTTCTTTCTCCCCAAAATATAACTATTAATAGATATGTACTAAATATATGTCAATATCAATATGTATGTATATTTATAACGTACTTTGTATAATTTCTATAATTATTTTGTATTTTATGGTTTATCTCTTCTTTGAAAGTTTTCTTTTCATAGTTTTTTTTCTTTCTTTTTTTTTTGCTAATAATAATATTCTCTTTATACTGATTTGTATGCTTTTCGCGTTTGACTAGCGGTGTTAGTTAATTGCTTCTCTGAACAGCATAAAATGTAACTACGATTTTTTTTTTAATTTTTCTTTTGGATTTTGTACGCTAAACAACATTATTGCACATGTAAGGATTAATAACATAGCCCAAAACTATGTATAGAAACAAAATAGTACAATGTTTTGGGCGGCTCCTCCAGCAGCACCAACTCCTCGATCTCACTCCTTTCAGTGCCATCAGCTTAATGGGTCTGAGTTTGATGTCAAATGATATGTACGCCTCTTCCTAATTGCTTGAAATGTGTCATGGTCATTGGGGGCAGCAGGTTCATCATATTAAGTACAGCTATGATTGGGGGCTCAATTTAAAACAATAGAGCAGCACGTGCAGCCCCCGTATGATGATGTTGCTGCTGCTGCTGTGCTTTTTGCTGCTGTGGTTGCTGCTGCATTAGTGGTTGTTGCTGTGGGTGGTGCATGCTTGTTGTTGATGTTCTGCCTGTGGCTGCTGAGGCCGTTGGTGACTTTAATTCCTCCACAATAATGACGCCGTGCTCATCAACCATGTGATTCAACAGTAAATTCTCAACCTGTTCATCGGATAGTAATTCTTTGGGTTCTGAGGATCTGTAAAGTAGTTGTTGTTGTTGTTGTAGTTGTATCACACACAATTCACAGAATAACCAAAATCAACACATACGATGAGCAAGAAAGCAAGAAAAAACGATAGAAAGAGAGAGAGAGAGAGAGAGAATTGTCAGGTTAGAGAAAAAGTATTAAGATAAAAACTATGAATGATCCAATGTATTGATGCGAATCGAAAGAATCAATAAAGCAACATTGAGCAATGAGAGACTGGCACACCAAAAGTACAAGGGTCCATGAAATAATTGCCAATGTCAGTCTAAAAAGCAATTAACAACTATACGAATTAAACAAAAACAAAAAAAATTATAATAATAGTATTACACAAATGTAACAAATCTGCATTAGAAATGAGAACAAGAAAAAACTTGCAACAAGTTATTAAAATATTATATACATGAACGATTTTGAGCTTGCTTAATAATTATTCTTTCCGAATTATTTTACATAAGGCAGTTATTTCAGGGCGCCAAAAATAAAAAAAAAAAACAAAAAAAAACAAAAAACACATTAATGAAATATTTGCAGTACATACAAATTTTGAGAGTAGATTTTTGATCTTGATTTTTTTAGTTTTCATGTTTTTTAGTAGTAGAAGCGTGCGTGCGTGCAATGCTGTTAGTTGTAGATATTGTTGTTGTTTGTTGTTGTTGGTATTGTTGTTGTTGTTGTTATTGTTATTGGTTGTGGTTGTGATTGAATGTGTTTTCAAAGAGCAAAGAGACCAAATCAAAGCAGCCAATTCGATAGGAATTTAGTTAATTGCAGTTGCTGATTAGTTCGTTTTGTAGTAGCAGTTGCAGTTGCAGTTGTTATTGTTATTTTAATGATTTTTTTTGTTTTTTTGTTTTTTTTTAGGTGGGTGCAGTTTAAATTTTTAATTGCAGTTTAGCAGTTAATCGGATGATCAGTTATCGATGATCGATTATCGAGTACTCGGCACCATGGCATCGATTAAATCAAATGAGCTTTGTCAGGCGATTCTGCAGCGAGCACAGGAGGCTGCTGGCAGCATTGCTGCTGGTGCCGCTGCCACCGCCACCGCCGCCGCTGCGACCGTTGCCGCCATCTACTGACCTGCTAAATAGAAAAAAATCACCGGCGCCGCTGCTGCTGTTGTTGCTGCTGCTTGCACTTGTTGCGGACGCTGCAGCTGCTGCTGCAGACACAGCCGAAACGGCTGTGGCTGTCGTTGTTGCATTTGTGGCAAGCAGTGCATCCGTCTCGCCAAGATCACTGGCCATTTCTGATTCGCTGTTGCGTCGCTCGAGAGTGCGTCCGACCTTCTGAAAGCCATAGCTGAACACATCCTTCACCTTATCCCCGGCATCGATCAGCAGATCGAGACTCTGACGTCGTCCGCTCGTCTTGAAGCTATTGGAGCGCGACAGCCACTGGCTGAGGCTCTGCTTGCGACTCATTTGGGCGCCGACGAAACCGATGCCGCCGCCGCTGTCGTCCTGGAATATGGTGGTGCAGGTAACCTTGCGCTTTGGCTCGTCCGATGATGAGGTCGAGTGCTGAGATTGGGCATCCGGCTCCAGGCTGCCCAGGCCGTAGCCCAATCCCTGGTGACCACAGCCGTCAAGAGCCTGCTGCTCCAGCAGCGATTGATTCGAATAGCTCGAGCTGGTGCTGTCCGAGTGCGACAGACGGATCTCCGTCCACTGATCGATATCATTGTCTGCCGGCGCCACCGAAGTGGATGCGGATGCTGAGGCCGATGCGGATGCCAGCGAACTGCTGCCGGATTCGGAGCGTGGCTTCACCTCGTAGGGACCGTGCAGCCCTTGCGCCTGGGCAAACAGATTATTATCGCCATCGGTGGCGCTGGTGCTGGCCGATTTGTGCATGCCACCAGCCAGCTTCTGTGGAAAGGTCAGCACCGCCTCAAAGTCATGCAACAGATGGGGGCAATCATGCGCATCCGTCTGCCGTTGTCGCGGCGAACTGGCCCCACTACTCAAGCGTTCCGGCATGCGCAAATACTCATCCTCCGTTGCCAGCTGTTGCTCCCGTTCCCGGTCCCGTTCCCTTTCTCGCTCCCGCTCCTGGTCCAGACCCGGCTGCAGTTGCTCGGCGCCCGCTGTTAGCGCATCGACGGCATCCACCTGTCGCAGCATTGCCTCATAGTTGAGCAGATTGTTGCGCTGCTGCCGCTGTCTGTGTATATCCTCGGAGATCTGTTCCAGATTCTTCAGCGCCTCGTTGTAGGTCAACTTCGCAGCGCTGACCTTCGTTTCCAGCTCGTTGACCCGCAGCTTCTGAGCCTTCAGCAGGCCATTGTAGTTAGCCCGCGTCTCGTAGTACGGCCTACGTTTACGGGCAGTTGCCAAAAGAAAAGAAGACAAAAAAACGGGGGAGGGAGGGTGGGAAGGGGTGTAGGGGCGACGAGAGAGACGTTTACCGCATATTAGTGGGCGTGTCAATTGGGGGCAGGTGAGGCATACTCACGAGCAGAGGGTACAATACAAAGCGTGCAAAATGCTAAAGTATCTCAACAAAAGTAAATTGCGCCTGAGCTGCAATCTATGAAAAAGAAACGAAACCAAACAAAACAGAATAGAATAGAACCCCCAAACGGGAAACCAAAATAAAAAATTTGAAAAACAAAAAAAAAACCAAGGGAGATAAAAAATACAATTGCAACTCGGGCAGGCCGATAGTTTTCCCACTCCCTGGCAGAGCTGTGTTTTGAACTTAAGAAAACACGATCAGATCACAAAATACTTTTCATGAATAAGTATTTAAAATATTATATTGTTACTAGAATTGATAACTCTAGAAATATTAAAAACTAAGGAGTTATTTAAAAACCCTAATGCAAATTTAATCCAGATACAATATGTAAGTTTGCAACGAGCCTAAACTATTCCATTCCAATAAGGGCTTACAAATTTCTGATATTCCAGATATAATCAGGGATAGAAACTGAAAGATTTCAAACTTTCAGCTGAAAGATTTCAAACTTTCAGCTGATTGGAATAATTGGAATAAATAAGATAAGGAAGAAAATTCAAATAGCTTAGAAATTAATAACATACAAATTGTGATTGAGATTTAAATAGTTGCTTTAAGTGCAAATTGAACTCGGACATGCCAATATGTGAAATTCTCCTAGGGATTAGCTACCTAAAAATAAGGAGCAGTGGAGTGAAAGTAGCTTCACATGCTCTGCCAGGACCAGGAAGGAGTAATTTAAAAAATCGGAGAGTAGATTGGGGGCAAGTGAGATACCTGGAGGCACGCAACGCCTGCTTGAGCTGGCCCTGAAGCTTGTTGACACGATTGTTGGCCACCTCGAGCTTCAGTTGGCACATCTTGAGGGCGTTGCGTGTATCGGTGACCTCCAACTGGGATTGGTTGACTTTGCTAGCCGCATGGCTGAGCATCTCCTGGCAGGCGGTGTCCAGTGTGGACTTCTCGCCGAGTCCCTGCTCGGCCAGGTAGACCATCTCCTTGGCGGCGGCATGAATGGACTTGGCCTTCTCATGATTCGCCGCCGCCTGCTGCGTCTCCTTGGCCAGCTGGGCGGCATAGATGCGCGACTCGTAATAAGGCTTAGCGGCGTCAATGGAGTTGCCCAGCTTGTGGGCAGCGGCCTTGATGCGCACCACGCTCTCCGCCAGCAGGCGCTTGAATTCACATTTCGCTTCCTGTGCGGAGAGAATAACGTTACATAAAGCTGGACGAAAGACACACGCACACAGAGAGAGAGAGAGATAGAGAGAGAGAGCGAGAGCAAGAGAGAGAGAGGGAGGCGAGCGAAAGAGAGAGGGAGAGAAAAAATCAATACACAACTCACATCGAGCTCCACTTCATATTTGTTGATATTGTCCGTGGCCGTGTTTAGCTTCTCCAGCTCGATCTGCAATTACAGCGTTCAAGTGGAGCAACCACATACGAATGTATATGGGGTGTATAGAGTACATACCTGGACACGCGGATCTACGGGCGTATTGCTTTCCGTTGACATTTCACCTGTTCGTGTCTCGATTTCGATTTCGTTTTCGTTTTCTCACTCGAATCGAATTAGAATGATTGCGAATGGCGAATTCAAGTGCGAATTCGTTGATGAGCCTTATCACTTGACTGTCATTGCGGATGCAGTGCAGCGGGCCACTGTTTTCATTGATTTCGACTTATAATTGTGTTTCGATTTAACTGTGTCAATTCGATATAGCGAGGAGAAAATTGAGCCCAGCGCTTATTAGTTGAAGAGCTTTCGGACAACAACAGCAACAATGCGTACACATAACGATGACAACACAGCGGGCGCAGCTTTTGCCATATGCAAACAGAGCAACGCGAAAAAGCGTCCCAGCTGACCGAGTCTCTGCACTTTCAAAAGCTGGTCGAGCCCCTCGATTTCTCATGCAATTTGACACGTGTCTATCATAACTATTACTTACATTATCACGCATATTTTTGCTTGCTCTCCGTATTTCTGAAAATATATGAGCGTGTATCTATATTTATATCATTCCTTATTAAATTGAAATACTTGCTATTATTATCACATATATTAGTGGGAGGGTATGCGAGCTTCGTATGATTTTCGTTTGTTTTTTTTTTTTATTGTGCTCGTTATGTTTGTTTGCACACAACCACCGAGTAATGGCATTGGCGCCCCCTAGCGTCGGCTTTTCACGTTTGTGCAATTATCAGTCTGGCAACATTCATAAGAGCTTTTTCTTGGTATTTTTCTGGAGTGCCCGCAACATTTGGTATTTTGGGGCGTTGCGCCTGCAATCACATTGCTAACATTAGTTGTTAGTCTTCATTTTGTTTTCGTTGCGTGCGGTTCCGTGTCGGCTTGCTGCTTAGCTGTTAAACTCAAACTAAAGAACCAACTAACAAACAAAAATCAACAAATCATTAACATAAAACAATCGTTGAGCAGCAGCAGCTCGAAAGTATTAGCTCGCCGCAACTGTTAGAGCACCGTCAACAAAGTGTTTTTTTTTAAATATTTTTTTCGTCGGTTCTGGTGTCTGGTGTAAAGTTTGTGCTGCTCCTTAGCCTTATTGTTGTTGTTGTTGCTGTTGCTTTTTTTTTTATTTTCATTTGTTTTTGTTGGGAGATGCGCGGGCGCAACTAAAAAGGCGTCAAAATATTGAAACGTAAGCCTGGCCAACAGCCGACCAAAAATTGAAATTTCAAGTCGCGCGTAAACAAAAACTATTTACAAAATATATATTGATGTACAGCAATAACACAACACAAACAAAAAAAAAAAGAAGAGAAAAAATGCAAGCGGCTGCTAGTGCTGCTGTTGTTGTTGTTGTTGCATTTGCTTTTTGGTCTTTTGGTTGCTTTTATCTGCTTGCTTGCGACGCCGACTGCGACGGCGACGCCGACTGCAATGCCGACAGCATTGTCTTTTGCTGTCTTTCGTGTCTTAACTCGTTTTCCTTTTAAGTCTGCTTCTTCTATTGCCCTGTGTGTGTGTCTCTGTGTGTGTTTGTTTCTGTTTCCTCCTCTTTTTCTGATTGTTTTGTTTTTCTGTTTTTTTTTTTATTATTTTTTTTTTTGGAAAATTCGATTTCAGTTGCAGGCGGCTCTGTCGACGCAGACGCAAGCGCAAAATTGTCGAGAATACCCTGCAAGCACAGATGATGAAGCTGTACCCATGGTGTAATATTGCAATTGTTACCCTTCGAACAAAATTCAAAATAAATATATATATATATATATATACTTATGTATATGTATATATGTATATGTTTATATATGGAAGCAGCTGTCAAAACAAAAATCGTCCTTATCAACAAACCTCCACAGCAGATGCTTAACAACTGAAGTGTTAAAATTGTTGCGACAAAATGGAGTCAGTCTGGGACGCTTTTGAATGATTACACCATGGCTGTAGCTAATCCCACTACTCGGGGACACTGGTCTTTTGCCTTTAATGAAAAGCTGAAACTTCTAATTAAGATAGTATTCATTTCATGTTTTTCCCCTTTTCCCGTTCCATTCTACAACTCTCGTCTCTTCTCTGCTCTTGTCTTCTTCTTTCTTATACGTATTTTCACTTGCAGCGTTGCAGTTAACAAAGCAACAACAAGCAACAACTCGAAAAAGTCAAGAACAACAATAACAACGAAATAAACCGTTTGTTAACTTTCATTGCAGCGTCTTCGTTTGCTCTTGGGTAAGTCTCCAATATATTTTTGTTTGTTTTGTTTTGTTTTCGTTTTTTGTTCATATATTTGTATTTGTGGCGGTTGCATTTTCCATATTTGTTGCTGGCTCGTCTGTTTTGGGGTTTCCATTCTTATGTTTTGATAAGCGTCTTATCGCAAGATTATCCCAGTTAATACAAGTTTCATCGACTCTCTCTCTCTCTCTCTCTCTCTCTCTCTCTCTCTCTCTCTCTCTCTCTCTCAGGTGTGTCAAAGACGTTGAGCTTGATTAGCTGCCATTCACAATTTCATGTTATTTTCTTGATTAACTTTAACTTTTAAATTGGCTAGAAAATGCTGCATTACTTGTGGCATCTTGTGTGGCAGCTGAGTGCTAAATAGCTGTGTAATTTTCTCCAGAGTGAAAATTATCGTAGCCCATTTCAATTTACAGACTAGAATTCACCTTAAAACTAGAAAGACGAAAGAACCGTTATCTGGGGCATGACAAAGATTGCCGCAATCTAAATGTTGGTAGTCATTTCAAAAATCGACCTATTGCTCCAGTGAAAGGTATTAAATAAAGGAGCCCAATGGTAAATGGTTTTTTTTTTTGGTTTTTCCCTTATAATACGCATATATTAAACAAAAAGGTGGACGCTGATCATGAATATATATATATATATATAGTGTATGGGGTCGGTAGGGAGATGTCTCCTTCAACTTCACCACTAAATTATATTGGCCCAACAACTGGCTGCTCTCTCGTTTGGTCCACAAATAATGCTTCTCGTGGCGACTGAAAGCTTGCCATAGCAGAAGAAAAAAGCAACAAAAAAACAAACAATTTGATTTATTTTCATGTGTGTGTATCTTATTTTTCTGGGAAGAGTCTCCCTTTGGTGCATTATATTGCCTGCTGTCTGTCGTCTGTTGTGTGTGTTGTTTGTTGTTTGTTGTTTTTAAAATGGTTGCCAGCGAGTTTCGCATGGCGGCATGCCTCAGTGGTCCGTCCCTGCTTGTGTCAGCGTTGATTAGCGTTCGGTCTTCTCTCCCTAAAATAGATCAAAGGGAGCGAAAAGCGAACTTCTTCTCAGAGAAGGAAGCAATTGAAACCGAAACTGAAACTTCAAATTGACATTGAAACTGAAACGGAAACAGCAACGGCAACAGAAGCTGAGCAAAAGAATACGAGATCTGTTTTGCGACTCATTATTTGCCTCTGGATTAGTTTCAACAATTTGTACATGAACAAAAATAAAGAGCTCGACAAGAAAAACTTAACCAACTTAGCTATGAATAACCTGTGGGTCAAGTGCATAAATATGGTCTTTATGTTCTCTTACGTTAAAGTTCTCACTGACTTTGACTTGACAATCAAATTCAACTCTGTCTCCAACAGTAACTCAAGTATGGAGAATCTCTCCCATTCAAAAATGGACGGACGGAGTCAAACAGTTTAAATTGATAGAGCTCTTCCAGTGAGAATGTGAGAGCCGAAAACCAGTCAAAAGTCATTAGTTATTACCAATTCACCATTTCGTATTTGCTCAGTTGTTATGAATAATGGAAAGCCTATTAGGCACTAATTTTACAACGTTAACAACTTTAACGACAACTGTACCTAAATCAACTTTTGCTTCTTTATTTTGTATTGATCGACTTGGAGATACTCAGATCCCAAGACTTTACCTATCTCAACACACAACATATTTGAACATATTTAATGAGTGATGAGTGCTAAATATTATGTCAAGGTATATACATCGATCGATAATCATATATAATATATATATATATATATATATTTGATCTGATCGCTTGTTCTGCCTTCGGCCTGTTACGCGCTTTTCCACAACTTCATCATACCCATTCAGCCGTTGTCAATACAGAAACTAACTAACACAAATACAGCACTAACTCGTATATTTCTTCAAAGAAGACGGCTCGTTAATTTTTAAGGGGCACAACTGCACAGCGTACATAAATATTGTATTTATTTTTGGCACAGTGCATCAAATGCAGCTTCGAAAATTGTATTTATTTTTTCTCACACCTTTTGTTCGTATGCAATTCGCAGTGCATTATGGCATTGAAATTTGTTGAACTGTCACAAAGAGTGTCACATGGTGCACGCAGTCAGTCCCCAGCCGCCCCTGCCTCGCTCCCTCATTGGCAGCACGTTGTCATATCGTTGCATCTCCTACATCGATACTTGCGCCGCTGGAGGCGCTTCTTTCTTCTTTCAGCTAGTTGTGTAGGCTGTCAGTTGCAAGTTGCCATGGCAACTGCTTTATCATCATCAGCTGGTTGTGCAACATCATCATCATCACCATCTGCAGCAGCAGCAGCAGCATCATTTTGAGTAAGTTGCATTTCTAGCGGTGCAATGAACTGTGACCGCATTCTTGTTGTTGCTGCGGCTGCCGCTTCGTTCTTGTTCACGCATTGCAAATTCACACAAAGCTGCACGTTTAGTCGCTGACGCTAGAACAGCTTTATCACGATGAAGCGCAAAACGTAATTGCAACTTTTCCCCCCATAGTCGGCAACGCAACTGACACTCTGCAACTTGACACTGCAGCATCTCCGGTGTGGTAATATAAAGCATTTCATTTTATCCTGTGTCTAATACACTCAAAAAAAAAGAAGAAAAAAAAACAACTGGCAAAAAGTGAAACACTTTTCTATATTTCTTATTTAAAATATCATTAATATTCATAAAATATAGGGGAAAAAGTCTTTGTTGCACAATTCGCATTTTTGTGAATATTATTTTTATTTTATTTATTATAGATTCAAAAGAGTTCATAGTTCTTAAAGGGCTTATCATAAAAAAAATTTCATATTAAAGTTACGAATTAAATTAAATAAATTATAAATTTAAAATTAATGAAAAAACAAATTTATAGTATATAATAAATAAATGTGAGCGTATTAAAATATTAAATAGTCGAGTATTTATATCAAGGATTGGGGGAATAAATAAATATTATTTATATTTATTTAAAGTTTTTCACAATTTTCCAAAAAGCATATATTGCATTTTTAAAACTATACAATATTTCTGGAAAGTATAAATAATTTTTTATATTATTTTATTTTAACAGAATTTTCAATCAACAATATGTGGTATTTTTTTATTATTTAAGTGTAACTCGTTGATCTTTGGATAAGCGGCGCCAGCTGGCAAGAATTTCATTCAGCTTGTTAACTCAATTATGGCCAAAGATCTTAATCGACTTTGCCATTTATTTAATTGATATTTGTCTTTTGTTGCTGCTGTGCGTTATGCAGGCTGGCAAGCTCAGGGGTGGAGAGAACGAACAGCAGATAGATAGGCAGACTGACAGACAGACAGGTGACGAAGTCTAACTCAAAGTCGAGGAACGTGACTTGCATGCAAATTGTGCAATGAGTGGCAACACCTTAACTGGAACTTGAACTTACCTAACCAATTTGTGGCGTGGTGCCTGCCATGGTGGGGCAGGGAACCTTGTGGCTATGTGGATGAGTGGGTGTTCGTGTCCGCGTCCGTGTCCATGTCCGTGCCAGTTGTCTCGACTCAATAACAAAGGCATTACTCGCATTCTACTCGGAAAGTCATTTCCAATTACTTGTTGTGTAATATTCAAAGCATTTGTTAGTGTATCACATTCCTGATTATCCAGAAAGAGGGAAAGGAAGAGAGAGAAAGAGAGGGAACGAGAGAGAGAGAGCGAAGCTGTGGAACGTTTTGACCAGATCTGGCTGGACAAACTTGTAGTCCTATCTTTTATCAGGCCTCCTTGATAATTGCAACCATTAATTGTCTATACGAAGACAGCACATCGATAGTCGATAGGCGAGGTGTCATCTTGCACCTGTGGCAGCTGAGAGCCTGTGCCACGTGCTTACGGCTATCATTTCTATTTTGTTTATTTATTTATTTTTTTCTGTATGCAAGTCGAGCAATTAAGCATTTTTAAGATAGCCAAGTTGACACAGCGAACAAACGAACGAACGGGCGCCGAGGGGATGGGGGTCGAGTAGCAGTGAGCAGGAGCGGGGCGTGTCGGTAAAAAACTGGTTCTCGGTTCTCAGTTCTGGGTTTTCGGTGCTCTGTGCTCAGTTTGGCTTTGGTTTGCATGCCACCCAACGACAATGATGACGACAACGATGTGGACGGCACAGCGGGGGACGTGGCGGGGGCTTTAATTGGAAACTTATTTGGGTCGGCCGAGTGTTGCATTTATTGTGTTGTTGTTGTTATTGTTGCTATCTAGTTACTTGAATCGTTGAATGTGTTTCAATTGATTTCTAATTAACCAAAGCGTTTGCCATAGTTTTGTCCTCGCTCGCTGCACCCTGCTGCCCCTGCCCCTCCTTTGCATGTCGCCTGCACGTGGCATGCACTTGATCCGCTTCCGTTGAGGGCGCCACCTGTGTTGTTCCCAAGTGCACGTGCCTCACGTGGGCACAGCTCTTCTACCTGACCCCCCACCCCCACCCCCGCAACCACGACTATTTCTTGTTAATAGAAATTGTAGGTCAAGCGGCGTTTAGTCAGCTTTCAATGCACACATGTATCTAAGTGTGTGTGTGTATTGTAGGTGTTGTAGGCGGTGCCAAGATGCAGATAATGTGCGGCTGCCTTTTCGGCAGCGGCTTTGACAATTGCGGGCCGCAAATTGAGAGAGTGCGAGCCGCAATCGGACAGACGCCCATTCAAGTCAATTAGCTATATGTAGGCGCAAAAATTAATTTGTTTGCCGCCAAATGTGGCAGGGTGACTGGAAATAGGCAAACTACAAAATCGTTACAAAATAAAACGAAGCAACAGATTAACAGAGAAGTAGCGCAATAGCAACACACAAAAGGAGCTAGAGCCACACACTCAATGATTGCCAAGAAGTTAACAGCGCCCCGCTAAATCATTTAAGGCAGCAGCTACAGCTATTTAATAAGCTTCACAGAGTGACGCTTGAATACCCTACTCGTTCATCGTATGTATATCTAGTCTATATGTTGACTAGACAACGGCATATTA